TTTATTCTTAAGCATTATTCACTAATTAAGACAAAGTTTAGGGGCTGGAACCCAGTCTAGCCCCACCCCTTTTCGTTGATATAACGAAATTGAAGTGATTTTTGACCGAAAAGGATATTCCAAACTCAAACTCTTTGAGCTGCACTAATTGTAGTGCCATCTCTCTTTCACTGTGATTTCCATCTAGTGTTCGAGTAACAATTTTTACAACAGACATTGGGCGTAGCCGTGTATAAACGACTATTTTTAACAATTTTAAATTATTAATGTGCAGTATTACATAAAGATAAATACTATCAATCCAGATTTTTATTTTTAGCTAATAGTGTTCACTGGGTCTACGGTTTATAATCCTTATCTTGGAAGACTTGCTCCACCCTATAGCATAGGAGCATGCATTTGAATCGATGCAAAATTGAAGCGGGTGATTGCTTTGATACATTGAAGTGATAGGCACACATTTGCAGTCAGCCCGCAAATACAATACTAAATAGGCCGGGGTTTAAAAACAGAAAAGCTAAAATTTGTCAACTAGCGGATGATACTTCTCTGTTTTTAAAAAAACAATGATAGTATTGTTGAAGCAATTGAGATAATTGAAAATTCTCAAATGTTAGTGGAATAAAATTGAATAAAGAAAAAAATAATGGAATATGGATAGAACCATTGAAAGATTCGTGTCCTGAACAAGCGCACAATCTTAAATGGAAGAATGTTCTAAAAATATTAGATGTATATTTAGGACATGACACAAAGTTATGTTACCACATGAATTGGACAGAAAAAAATAAATATATTAAAAACCTTGCTCAATAGATGGAAAAAGAGAAATATCACTTTATTAGGCAAAATAATCATTGTAAAATCATTAGGTCTAAGTAATTTGGTATATAATGCAAGTGTGATAGATGTTCCAGAAAAAGTTTTTAAAATCAATAACGGAATCGTGTTTAAATTCATTTGGAATAACTCCACAGAAAAGGTTAAACGTAAAACGTTAATTGGAAATATAAATGATGGTGGGTTGAATGCACCTGATTTCTACACTCAATGTCTTGCACTCAAATTTCAATGGATAAAAAGGTTGTTATGTGGCGAAGATGGGTTATGGAAAGATATTCCAAAATATTATATGCAGAAATTTGCACCCCTTAAAGTCCTTATACATATTAGTTGTCTGCAAATAAATGATAATATACATTTAAAAAATACTCCAAAATTTTATGTTGATGTGCTTAAATCAATTGTACTAGAAAATAAAACCAAAATTCACAACCTGGAAATTTAGATGTTAATGAAATAAATAAACAACTGCTATGGGAAATGATGTCATTAGATTTAAGAACAAACCTTTGTTTTTTAGTGAGTGGATTAATTCCAATATAATTTGTGTGGGTGATATATGTGAAGGTAATAGATTAAAATCACCAACTATGTTAAAAGCAGCTCTTATAAATCAAAGAAACTGGATTATACAGGTAAAACAGGTTTTACATGCAATACCAAGACCATGGATAAAGCAAATATATTAGTAAGATAAACAAGAAGCCTTCAATTATAAATGAAAACAATGAGTTGTTAAAGGTTAATTCAAAAACATATTATACTAAACAAATACAACAAATATTTGTGAACCAACTTCCCAGAAGCATGGAGGAAAGAAAATTAAAAACTAATTGTCTTTCCTCCATGCCAGAAGCAATGGGAGAATATCTTTCAAGGTAAACATTTTGACTGGGATTTAATATGGAGTAATAAGGCCTTCAGAATAAAAGAAACAAGACTAGCAGAGATTAATTTTAAGTTATTACATAGAATCTTACCAAATAATAAGAGGTTGGTTGTATGGAACATAAAACAAGACCCTAATTGCTATTTATATAAAAAAGAGGAAAATGAAAAGAATATGTTTTATGAGTGTCAAAGACTTAAAGGTTATTGGGATTGTGTAGTTAACATAATTAACAAACTAGAAAAACAGCATGTAAAAAATGCTTTCGTATATTGATATTTTATTTGTAGTTAAGAATGTAAAAAGCAATAAATTAATTACATTAGGTTGTTATGTAATTTACAAATCATGGTTAAAAGCAGAAGGAAAAATAAAAAATGATAATTTAAACAGGATGTTTATTGCGGAGCTAAATTTAAGGTGCAAACTATAGTCTAAATTAAAGAAAATGTAATGATGTGAATTGAAAAAAAAAAAACTACATAAAATTGTTAGATGACAGTAAATTATTTGTACAAAATTAAGATGGAAATGAAAAGGTGTAGAACTGAGATTAATTTATTATGTAATTGATATTTAAGCAAATTTTATGATTTATTTTACACACTAAAAAGCAGAAAAATGTTAAATAAAACAGGATGTTCGTTGTTGAACTAAAATTAAGGTCTAATCTAAAGGAAATGTAATGATGAGAATTGGGGAAAACAAAGAAAAAACTAAAAAGTGTTAAATGAAAATACATTATTTGTAAAAAATAAGATGAAAATGAAAATATGTAGGAAAACAAGATTAATTTATTATGTTCTTATATTGATTTTATGTACATTTTTATGGGGCAATAATGAGAATAAAGGTGGCTTTGCCAGAAAGAGAAAACAAAAATACTAAATAGGCCTATTTTTCAATTAAATTTACATCAAAATTACAATGTAAGCTAAGAAACCTCGCTCGATGCTGTGAAACTAGGACTTAATAAATTATGCCCATACAGTAGGCGTTTATAGGAGCTGGGGAGGTAATAATTTTCCCGTCTAGTAAATTACGACCCGGTGTGATACCTTCCCCCTCCACCCCCCAGAAGTATAGAAACAAAACGATATATATATCTGAACGGAATGTATAACATTAGGTCTACAAACGTGTGTTTGAAACTAAAATAGAACCTCGATTTTACGTACGGTACGGGACCACAGGGCGTATGTAAATCGGGGGATTCGTAAAATTGAGGTTGGGTTAAATGTGTGGTGACGTTTGACCTAATACGTACATAACCCTGAATAAACGTACGTTATAAACGAATGATGTAGGCTAGACCTACAACTGTACTGTAGGTTTGGGCCTACAAATAAAACCATGTGTTTAGTGTTTTCATTTATCACTGGACAATGTCATAATAAATTGTTCAAATGAAATCATATGTCTAGTGTATTAGTTCAATATTTTATATCTGTTATTTATATACAGAACATGAAAATATCGTAAGATTACCTATACGACGAAAGTTTAACTTCGGAATTGCCCTTCATGGGTGTTAAACAACAAATCTATGATGGTGTCTAAACCCATGTGCACTGCACGAAACCAGACGAAAACAAAAACACATGTGCAATGCACTTGGCGAGCCAACCAATTAGCGTTCGTGTACGAAATTATACCTACCAAGCTTAGTAAACTTCGTATAGGAAATTCGATTAAACAAGTTTTGCACACGAAGCTAAGGAGAAAAGAAATTATTTTGAGTACCGTTGCTAGTTGTTCATCTTGCGCAGTTCACATGGTGGTTTTAGATACAACAGCCCAGTATTAGACTCAATCATTGTTGCTGTTTAATGCATATACTTTGTATATGGTTTGTTTATTTTTATAGCATTGAAATAATAAGCAGACAGAAACTAACAATCTCATTTTACTTATGGTGGCACTAAAAAGGGCCGTTTGTTTTAAATATTTTCGGGGTTTTTGATGACGTCATCGTCAATACAAGGCCGAGGGTTCGTATTATCGTTTTACCTAGCTCTTTGTGGTGGAGTATTGTAATTGGTCTCTCGATTGTAAACCATTTGAACATTTTGAACTTTTTATAGCATTCACATTGGAACATCCTGCAGCTTGTGTATCATTTACATCAGATATGTATTACTCACAACTATTTCGTTCTAACTCTGTGGACATTTTTGGAACTAGAGAAGAGGGTGCAGGGTTAACCGTGTCTAATCATATAATTTCTTCCTTTTTATTCTTGTCTTTCTCTTTTCTTTCAATTTTCTTTTTCTTTTCTTTTCCCCTTCTTTCTCTTTCCCTCCCTCTCGCTCTCTCTTTTTTCCTCTTCTTACTCAGCCCGGTACAGTCCGTCAGTGCGGTGGAGGCAGTCTTCCCCCTGCTCCCCCCGCCTGTTACGCCACTGCTTTCCCCTTACTCCCCCACCCCCACGCCCTGATTTATACGCTGGTGCCGCCACTGTATAAAACAAAATAAACACGTTGCATAAAATAAATAAATCACCTTGTTTATGTTTTTGCTTTAGAAACATGAACATAAAACAAACTGGATGTTAATGTTATCCATTATTTTGTTTTTTCGTGAAACTTTAAATAATTTATCCCACTTCCTGCTGTAAAGTGCACAGAGGTATTGTACATTATGCGCTATATAAATTGACAATTATTATTATGAAGAATGAAGGCTCTAATCCTGCGTATAGTAATTGCGTTTAAAGTATTCATCAAACACCATTGTGCTCACTGGACCCTTTGTTGAATGCCCATCGCATTTTGACTATAATATATAAACTAAAAGAACCACACTGGGGCGGATGCAGGATTTGACGGTAGGGGTGCATAAGAGTCCACACCACCTCGGCCCCAAGATGGTTGGGGTGAGTTGCGAACAATTTGAGAATATATATATCAGGATAAAATAATGCTAAATATTGTTGCTAACAATGTTCGTTGTGGTGAAGAAAGACAAACATGTGTCAGAGTGGCACCAGGATTTGCCAAACAGGGTCCGATGTCCCCGACGGAGAGGGTGATGCCTTCGATGGGAGTGTAAATAGGCTTGGGTCGGCGGCGCTATAATATTATTAAGGGGTTTCAAAGGATTATTTAATGGATTTTAGAGTCTAGTACTGTGAATACTTTTATTTTTGCCTTTTAATTTCTAGTATGATTAAATAAGATACTGCATATTTTTTTTTCTCTCGAACGAATTGTGTTGTGTGAATCTCTTTGAATTGTATACTTTTTATGTGATACAAATACCAACATACGTGTAGCTATAGGTTGAGCTGATTTATCAATGGTTTCAATGGCATAGACTGCAGTATTCACATTTATACGACCTTCATGACTACCAGAGACCTTGTGTATTGCTTCAATAAATCCCGACTGTCGCTCGTACGATCCAGCTAATATAATGAAATCCTAGAAAGAGGCATGTGCAAACAATACTTATTATTATCATTATCATTATTTTTTATCGCCGTCTACATCAACGTTTTCATTATCAATACCGCCACTGTCTTCATTATTATCATCGTTGTCATCATCACCATCATCATCGTCATCTTCATGATGATCATTGTTATCCCAGTATATCGTCATAAAGAATGTGCAAAAGAATTAACCTATCAAGCATCATAATCATCATCATTATTCTCATTTTCATTATTATTATCATTATTATCATTACTACTACTATTATAAGGATTATATTGTTTTATTATTATCATTATAATTACATAAAATGTACATATCGCATTTGTAATGATGCCAAAATATGATGACAGAAGTAAATATATGGAATACGTGTTTGAACCTGTACACTCTGTCGCTTTCCTAAGTTGAAAATAGCAAAAAGAAAGAATAAAAATTATAATAATCAACAAAGTCTCAATCATTTACCTGATAAAGAGTGATGTCTTTAGCAGGACTGATACTTGAGCCAATAACGTCAACATTTTCGATACCATCATAGTCAATAGTATATATAAGTGTACTATCTTCACCAACAATATAAATCCTTTATGAAAAAAAGCAAAGGAAAGCGTACGCTACGTTTTTCACTTAACTTACTTATTTTAAATTTACATCATTAAAAATACATTATTTTCTCATACAAAAAAAAAAAAAAATCTAAGAATTGAAATGTTTCAAATGTAGGCAGTTTTAAAAGGTATTAGCAATAGGAACCAGGGAATATGGGAATTTTTACTCCTCTGATACTATGGTTCTGTAACTGTTGATAGTCGGTGGCTGAGCGAATTGCCATTAAAAACGATCCTCTGCATCCTCGCACTGCGTACCCCATTAAATCGTGTCGGCCTCTCCTCTAAAACCTTTGGTGTAGAGTATGTGCCGGGCTTAGAGTGAACACGAGTGAGATTTGTGCAACTGACATCCTTATGCGAGAAGACTTGATACTAACAATCGAGCTGTGGTTCGAACCAGCGCTGATTTTATGATTGTAATCATAATGCCTTTTGATCCAAGTGAAGTATTACAAGATATTATTGTGTAATTATCATAAAATTTAATGTATTTTATATTTTGAATTGTAATAATACACAGTACTACCTTCTTTGGGCGTGATCAAGAGTGATCCCTGATGGATTCAGCAGATTTGTGTTTATAAGATCTTTTCGATTTGTATAACCCAGATTGCAGCTCACGAGTTTTGTCGGTGATGTCTTCTCAGTCCAAAATATCAATCTAATCAATAGCGTTTTATGAAAAATATACATTATTATAGTGTTGATTCTTTAAAAAAAAAAAACAAATATAAAGTAACTAATAGTGTAGGCATACAAAATCATTATTAAAACTTCAAGAGTCGTTGATACTTATAAAGTTCCATTTAAGTAGATTCAGTCAAATACTAAAATAAAATAGCGTATATACTCTATCTAAAATACAGCAGTGCAATACATAAAATAATGTATTACTATGCGCCTAAATTATAATTATTATTGACACAAACCGGCAAAATAAACGATCCTATTATTATTCGCAACAAATGAGAGTGATTGATGAGCACTAGTGAAAATAAGTGGTTTTTTTTTTTTAAGTACCAGAAGATGTTGTAGAGGCCGGAAGTTTGAGTGTTGGTTTTAACGATGAAGTGCATAATAAAATTAGCTAAGAGGTGGTTGGGCCGTAGTTTTGACTAAAGACAGGCTCATGTCGACACGGAACTGAACTCAACTCAACTCGTCGACATGAACGCTTCGCGCAACTAACAGGAACTGAACGGAACTGACAGTCGTGCATATTTGTCGACATGTGTCAAGTTGAGTTGAGTTGAGTTTAGTTCCTTTCAGTTGCCCATGTTTGACTTTTTGCGGAATTGAAAGGAACTGAAAACAGCGCGACAAAATGCTGATTCGGAACTCAAAGGAAACTGAAAACGTTAATCCTGATATTAATCGTAATCAAAATGCATTAACTAAAAAAATAATTTATTACAATGTTTTGTTAATGTTAGATGGCTTATTCTGTTAAAAAAAATATAGGCCTATAAGTATTTAGTCTAAAGAAATACGTTCGTATTTAATACCATGGTATTACAATAAAAATAATAAAAGAAAACAGAGATACATTTTTTTGTAATAATACACCTACCTATCAAAGTTGTCAGACTTACAATAATATGGACAGTTCACACTCTAAATTTTGTCCACTACTTATCGTTAGTATAATTGTTAAGTGGGCAGAAAAAATAAATTGGACATTTGATATAATCAAATCCTGTTTAACATATTTACATGTCCTAGTACAAACATTACAGACATTTTGCAGTTGATGGGATTTTTTTTAAACCAATAGTTCCTTTCAGTTGCCGGTGGACATGAGTCAAGTTCCTTTCCGTTCATTTCCTTTCAGTTGCTCAAAGTCGACATGAGTTTAGTTCCGTTCAGTTGCGTTCAGCTCCTTTCAGTTGCGCAGAGCGCTCAAGTCGACTAGTTGAGTTCCTTTCAGTTTCGTGTCGACCTGAGCCCGCCTTAACGTTATACGATTTACGATTGATGGTAGAGATTTTTTTACATTTACGTTTTCATAATATATTCATGATACATCTTACACACTAAAATCAATACAAGCACATAAGGCGTCAACTTCATACTTCAATAGTAAACAATCTAAAAACAACAGTCCAGTAATCACAAATAAAATTATTAAGAGTACAGTAAAGCTGAAATACTTTTGAAAATAGTTAAAAAGTATTCTGGAATAATTACACCTTTGATACTTCTGAGCTAAAAGTGTCTTTTACAATTTTCTGGCCATACCTTGTTCTGTACCATCTATTTTGGCCTAAGAAACAAATTATCCTGAACAGTTTTTAACAACTATTAAGCAGAATGTCAGGATCAATTAACACTTACACCTATAGTCAATTCACTCAACACTGAGACGCTAGAATTAAATGCATGCAGACCATCATTTAAATATCGCAACAATAATTTAATATGAATTAATAAATGACGCCCTTTAGAATGACATTCATATGACTAATCCTCCAATAATATATAATTATGAACTGACATTCATTCCTGGTTACTGTATATCATATCATAACCAATAACTTAATATGAATTAACGAATGACAACCTTTAGAATGTTAAATTCATATAGCTAGTCCTCCAATAATACATAGTTATGAACTAACATTCATTCTTGTTTAGTGTATGATATTATAACCAATAATCTAATAATTTAACGAATGACAACCTTTAGAATGTTCAATTCATTTAACTAGTCCTCGAATAATACATAGTTATGAACTAACATTCATTCTTGTTTAGTGTATGATATCATAGCCAATAATTTAATAGTTTAACCAAACCAAAGTTAAGTGCTAGTTAAACACGAAAACAAATAGGCCTACTTAATTAACTAACGTCATGATATATCCTACATCAAAGTTATGATATCCATTTGCAGCAATTAATTCATATCAAACAAATTGTCATATCCGGCTAACACTCGTCATACTGGATACAAATGCGACCCATGACATTTATGTTCATACATACATTCTATTGAGTATTTAGTAACATTCACACCATTGGTTCCAAAAACAACACATCTATTCTTGCTTATAGCCCAGACTTGAAATACTGCCCGCTCTCTTCAACGGTAAACGGTGGACTATTGATATAAATTAATAATAAACATAAATTAATACTGATAACAATAATCACAAAAATCACACCGTCATCGCATTCCCATAACACTTCGACCATAGCAAGTTTACGCAAAACCAACATCAATACACATACTATGGTATAAACACGATGCAATAATCTTCACATAAATGCTGTAGTCAATCAACTTACATATAATGGTAATTGTTGTATTAACTACAAAATTTATATTATTGTTTCGCCATGATACGCTATATCCATACGGTAGCCAACACCTTATTATTTCAATACATTTCCATAAGCATAGTCAAAACTTCGAAAATAAATTCCAAAATTAAAACAATAAAAAGAAACTTACTTGAATTCTCTATTCAACAAAAATGTGACTTAGGAAATGGTGTTGTAGTCACTGTGGTGCACATCCCATAAACGTCGTGTTGTGTCCGACCGTGTATAGTACTTCGAGTCCACCGAAACCATGAGTTGTGTCCGACCGTAAAACTATATGCACTTCGAGACCACCAGAGCACTAACGATTACACCACACGTACGTCCACCCGACGCGACGACCAAATCCTAAGTGACTTACGATTTGCGTTCAATAGAACTCCACACATTTTAACATACTCATGTGTTCTATTGACCTACGTACTGAACAACACGTCCAGGACAACATATGCAAATTAAACAATTATTGTTTGCACTAACTTTTATCAACTTTTAATTTATCAAGAATCTCAATCCACCGTGACGCAGAATTTAATGTTAAAATTCAAAATAAGAGTTTATTCATTCTTAGGAAAAAATATATCTTTAATTATAAAATCGTTGAAACAAAAATTATTACATCATGACGAAAATAAGAAATATAATTATAATAACGTTATAATGAGTAAGATTAGGCCTTGATAAACAAAATGGATCATTTACATACAGTAACACAAATATACAGTATTGTCAATAAAGAAGCCTAAAATTCGAGAAAGGTTGGTTATGCTAAATAATAAAATTACCTTGCATTTGGGTCTACTGCTATAGCCCTTGGCCTAATGACGTTAAAAAACCGTGTTGATTGAGCTATTCCGTCATAGGATGAAACCATTAGAAGATTTTTTAGATAATCAACCCAGTAAACGTTAAGCGAAATCCAGTCAACAGCCATACCTATTGTGTAAACAATGTTTAAACTTGATTGTAATCACACCTTAACACTGCGTATACATTTAGATATATAATAAAATATAAACTATAGTGTATTGGGTTTTAGGATATCGAAGGCTCTCGCGATAACTTATAGTTTCCCTTATTCCTTTTTTCAGTGTAATTTATCTGTTCTCTGCTTTTTTCTCTCCCTTTTTGGCGATGAAACTAATGAACTTTTGGAGGCGTATATGGTAGTTGCTATTGTTACACCAGTCATAAACAAATTCTGATAGATGTGATTACAATAACATCTAATTAGGTTTAGAAGAATGGTGCAAACAATAGCAACTGTCTACTATTATTGTCTTATATTTTATGTGATGAGATTGTATCAATTGATCAGCTTTGGGTCGATGGACCACCCTCACAAAATACTGTTGAAATAAATAAATAAATGAATCAATGAAAATATTTTCTTCTGTTTTGTGCTAGGCATATGGTCATCGCAGTTAATTGTTATACTTTCCTTGCACTGATTTAGCCTATGTGTGTCAGAAGTAAAGCATGAATATTAATATCCGCAAAAATTGAGGTTGTGTGAAAATCTTTATCGTTATATATTATATTATCATAATATAGGACGTGATTTGAGCCAACACTTGTGTAGAGAACGCAAGGCGGTCACGGAAGTGTGAATTTGTTTAATTATGTTTGTGTATTACGATCAAAGCTCACTAATTTTCAATAAAATGTAATAAATATTGATGTACCAAGCCGGAAGTTTGCCAACGATGAATTCAATAATAATTGAGGTTGTTGTCACTGATTCAAATCCGTAGGTACTTGCTATATCCTGCTATAATTCCAAGTTGTTAAGTATCAACTATTAATGAAAACGTATAAGCACTTTTTGACCAAAATATGAAGAAATATTTTCTTTTTCACTTTTTACATTTTCCCTTTGTATACTTTAATGTTAATATGATAATAAACACAATGTTTTACCATCAACCCGACCGCCAGTGTAAGTGTGAATTATTTTCAAATCTGCGCCTCCTTTCATTCTTACAACATTTATTGATTTTGTTGTATCTTCCGCGAAAAACAACAAATTACTGTATATGTCAACTGTCACAGCTGTAATTATTGTTTTAGTTCTACGAAGGAAGAGATTAATATATTGTTGATTATCATCCAAAGAGCTATGAATTAAAGTCGGGTAAAACATTGAAATGGTGTCCGTGCTACCTATTATGCAGCGCGGTGGGTACCAGATTGTTGAATCTGAAAAGAAATAATAAAATACGCTAGTTAAAAAGGCACATTTTCATAAACCAAAAGCAAAGTAGCCGTCCTAAACATATGAGTGGTAAAATAAGGACCAGTTCTTAATTCTTATAGTTTTTGAAAATATTAAAGAACAATAAAATTTATCTTTAATTTGAAAAGTTTAATTTTAATTAATGACATCAGGTTCACCAAATGTTTACCGTCGGTACAAAAGAGGTGCGAGTTTTGTAACTATTTTCAAAATATCTTCGGACTATAGATGTTTTCAATAATAAATAAGTAAGATACACAAACCAATACTGCATGTTCCATTTGGTAATAAAACATAGTTATCTTTACAGATACATTCGTGTTTTCCGTTGTTGGCTGATACACAAAGGTGGCTACATGTATGTAAATCACACGGTACTGGAAGAGAACAGACATATGTTGAATGCTATTAAATACTATTACAGTATAACAATTGCTTATTCAATGGAGGAATTAGTTCCTCCATGCTTATTCTAAGACGAACAATTACTTACACTTTTTTGGCTTTGGTTGGATGTTGGGACCGTTGACGTTTACATCTAAAAGATGAATTTCGCTACTAAAGATATATTGGAACACTACTCTACTAGGATTAGACTTGTTGTAGTAACGAATAATATGTTTCATCGTAGGGTTAACAACACTCACAAATATGTTATCCTATGGAGAGATAATATATGTTACTAAAACGAGATAGTAGACAATTTTCTAATTGCTATTATTATCTGACGATGACTACTTTGAAGCATAGGTTTAAAAAAAAATTGTCAGTGTTAAAATTCAAGCGTACATAATACTGTGTCATATACATGGATAGGATATATTTCTATTATCACCAACATGTACGGTATATTATAATGCAATATATCGTAAACGTTTTGCTGTAATACAATAATAGTACTTTTCATTTAAGGACGTGTAGACCTATAACATATTTTGTTCCATCTGATCAATATACTAATTCATTCTTTTTTATACAACATAATTGTACACAAAAAAGTAAACATATATTGTAGGAAAATTATTGGGATTCAAACAAGGCAGGAAATTAATTCTTTAATGCGCTTTAGAACAACAATTAACAGAAAAAGCAGCATTTAAATGGTAGTAGAAGGGACATTATTCTAAATATTTACAGTTGTTCTATAAATGGTCAACTGTGGTATTCCATACCGTATTGCATGGCTGCATATCAGAGGGCTGTATTTCATTATACTTGTAAGATTTTTATTTGAGATGACTGAAGTTGTGCACTGACTGAATTTCTTGGCCACCATCCATAAGCACCTGTGGCAGGGCAAACGTGTATCCAGTAATTTAGCTTGTGAGATGACCGTGACCCCTTGGAGATTCTGCATAATCATTTTGTTGTGTCACTTGTTTTCGTATTTTTTGTTCTGTTTATTTCTTTGTGCTTTTACTTTACGATGTGAAGCGCACAGAAAAAATTGTTCTTGCATTATAGAACAGATAGTATGCAACACAATACATAATTTCTTCAATGTTATGTTGTTATTGTTAATATTTATTGAATCAACTATCGGAAACTAGGGGAAAATATTTACATATCTAAGGGTGTATTATTATTATTATTATTATTAGAGTAGCAGGAGTATCCTATGTAAAATAAACATTTTCTTATTTTATAAAAAAAAAATGATATCTATGGCCAGATTACAAAGGTCAGAAATCAAAACAAACATTTTCGTAATTTCATATACAATATTTTCATTTAATGTAAATAGATACATATTCTGGTATTTCAGAGACAATAATCAAGTCTCTTAGTTTGGGAAGATGTAGAGAATTCAAGGTGTCTAAAGTCAAAGGTCAAAAATATCAATTTTGTTTACTAAAACACATTTACAGAAACCTGTACGGTATGTTCTGATATAGAAATACACAAAAATTCTTTATTTTGTCAAAAACAAATTCAGATACATAAAGTAAACAGACAAGAACTAAAACTGACAAAGAAGGAACCCTAAAAAAATAGAGCCAAAGTTAAGCCTGTTACCTAAGCTTCAAGGTCGGAAATGTCATTTTCAATCACCTTTAGACAATTTGTTGCATTAGAATAAATAGATACACGTATCATGTTCCAAGCAATTTGGGACCAAACGTAGGTCTCTCTGACCAACGGTTATTGAGATATGGATATGTTACAGGGCCCTTAGTGACAAAGGTCAGAAATGACATTTCCTGCCACTTGTAGTCAATGCATTAAATCAGTGCCAATAGAGTACCACAGTCGTGTCGTCACGACGTCAGGTGGCGCTCTTTGTTGTCAACAGACGTTGGTTAATGTTCATCACGCCTGAATGTCTTCATTGGATTTCTGGAATAGGCATTTTAAAATCTAATATTTTACCATCAAAATGTACTAAAACACAAAAGCTCGCATTATATTATTATCGAACACACATTTAATCATCAATTAAAATTTACAAAGAAAAAGTAAGATATAACACCTTAATAATTACGTAAGAATTTGGGATCAATGGTTTGTCAGTGAAAAAATGGCGTCCGGTTGAACCCTTTTAGCAACGATAGCAACGGAGTAGCATGACATGGTATCGTGACGAACACTGCAGCACTCTATAGAAACATGCATGTTCTGAAAAAATTGGGACCAAACTTACGTCTCTATGACCAACGGTTTTGACATAGGAAAGTTGTAATGGCTTTACGAAAAGTGATCAACCGGACGAATACACTCGGACTTTCCTATTATTTACATAAACAACGGCCCTGCAATCACGATGGCACAGTCTACGCTGCAGTAAGTACAATCTTTTATCCATATTTCTGACACCGTTTGTCATCATGTCAACAGCTAATATTCCTTACTATCAGATCGTCGAGCCTGTTTATAAACGATGATGAGATTAAAAAAAAGACGAAGACTACCTAAATGAAGAAGTTATCTACTTCGCCCCTAAGGAGGTCATAAATTGTGGTTATCTAAAAGGCCTTCAGAAAGTTAAAAAAAATTGGTGTGTATCACGTGAATATTGATCAAAGAAAAATGTCACAGAGCAAACAATTTTTAACTATTAGTGTATGTTTTTCTATAGGCCCAAAAGTATGAATGTTGTTGAATTAAACGCACGATATCCAGCTAACAATAAAACGTTATTCTTAGCATATATTTTGCAACAAGAAAACATGACAATTTTAAAATTGTATTTACTCACAACGCATTAGTTATCTCACACACTTGTAAGCACTCATGCGCTTTTTTCTGAACATTCACTCAAATAGATATACTGTATCCATATGTAAACATCAGGGTCCATCGCTCGGGATTCTATTTTACAATAGACAGAGTAAAAGATCGGAAAATAAAGTATTAGAAATATAAATTTATCCAACCAGCCGACCATTAGATTGGGCTTGGCCCATACGATTTTCGATCTCTGGAATAGCTATCGCTTCGCAAGTATAAAATGCAGTACAGGTACTCGCGGAATTCCTGGATGACCTTATTTATGAGAAATGTTTGCATATAACCTCAATTAAATTAATGTATGTGTTTATAAAACAAGCCGACGGTGAATAGGTTTATATTGTTTATAACATCAAACAAAATGATTCTATGACAATACAGTATTATGGAATCTTGATAAGGTCAAAAATCCAAACAAGCATATTTTATTGACAACATTTTCACTTAAGGCAAATAAATGCATATTCTTGCAACTAGGACGACAATCAAATCACTACAACCAGCAATGTTAGAGACTTATATACCATTTAATCATTTGTCTGAATATACACATACATTTCATGAATTTAAAAAGTGCATTTTGGAAATCCAATTTGGTTTACTTGCAACTCTTCTATTGGCTATCCCTCGAAGTCGATGTTGATTGTCTATGTTCCGGTAGTTGGTTGGTGAACTCTTAGGTGACTTATCCCGGCCTTAGAAGTTCTTTGGCATTAAGGGCTGGTAGTTCCTGCAGGCAGAACGATATTTGGTCGCAGCTGCCTCTATTTTCCATTCCTTCTCTTCTCATTCAGCTCTGCACATCTGTTGATTTCAAAGGATGGTGTTCCTTCTCGAGTAATGGTTCGCCAAAAGATTCTCTCTGTGGCATTGATCTCAATTTTTTTTTTCAAATTTGCATTTAAGGTGTATTTAGTTATTTTCTTTTGTCCGCCTAACTTACACTTGCCTTCCTTAAGTTGGGAATAGAAGATTCCATCATCCAACTCCATATTAGTTAGGATTTTTTTTTTAATTGATGCTCGTTTTTACTTCATTCAGGACACTGTCATTGGTTTTTCTGTCCTCCCAGCTGATTTTTAGGATGCTAAAATTGAATGCTAACACGACTGAATTCCACATTATCTTATCCAATTTTCCTGTCCCTAAACTGGAATTGAAAATTGGTTCTACAATAAATAAGTCTTTGTCAACTGTTAACAATTTTGGTGTTGTTTTTGATGAGCACTGAACTTTCAGCGAGCATATTGGCTCTGTGTGAAAGACTGCCAATTTTCACATCCGTAACAAATGCAGAATTCGTAAATACCTTAATCCAAATTGTTCCGAGATAAAAATTGAATTGATCGATAAAAAAACTTCCAGCTAGACTATTGCAATTCTCTTTTGTTTAATCTTCCTAAATTCTTCTATAAAACGCCATTAAATGATTCAAAATCACACTGCCCATATACACTTTAACTCCAAAATGTTTCTACAATACCTCTGTACTTAAATATCTTCAATGGCTGCCCTTTAAACAGCACATTATCTTTAAAATACTTCTAATACTAACGTTGAAAGCACTTATTCTGAGTGTACCACTTACTCGCTACTTGCCTACTCGCGGCACCGCATTTAACCTTTTCGTAAGCCTGCCGTGGCAAGTCTGAACCGCTGTGCCCAAAATTATGTAGTTTCTACGCATGTGCTAGAATTTTGCGTCTTCATAAATAGGATAGAATTTGTGAAAAAGGAACGTAATCGTCCGAGCGAGGAGTTTTAGATTTTTACAAACTTTTAGAACGTTGTATAAACTATGCGAAAACCGATATTGTCGTGATATTTTACAACAGGAAATATAAAGTTTAAAAGAAATAATTAAAAACTTCAGAAGCAGTGGCGTATTAACGCCTATGCGCTCTTATGTGGCGGTCCGCAGGGCCCGAATTCTTGGGGACCCAAAGGAGCCGTACCCATAGGTTCCTTGATCTAGTACCTTGGCCAAAAAGGACTTTGTTGATAAAAATCACCATAATGTGTCTCTAAAATCGACTGTAGGGCATATATCATATTATAACGATTAAAGATATGGACCCTTTGGACCGACGGGGCCCCCTCTTGGCCAAGGACCCCACCCAATTCGTCAAAAAAAAAAATAAATAAATAAAAACGCAGATAAAAAGAAAATTATATTCACAATTTAAAGTTTGTGAATGCCATTTCCGGCCATCTAGACGTGCCATAATAATACATTTTCTTATCTCAGCCCCACAAGGGCAACAGCATAATGTGTGTCTGAAATCGACTGTAGAAGTCATATCATATTATATCCAATGGCGGAATAAATAGTTGGTGGGGGTGGGGGACGTGCTGCCGGCCTGGAGCTGCCGGCCCGAGGCCCCACTAAATTTATCAACTTATTTTTTAACTGAAGATAAAATG